TGTCCACCTCACATGAACTTAATAAACCCATAATCACTCAGCTCTCCCTTACACAAGCTAATACCAAATAAGGTCTATATGAGCTACATACTGTTCTATTACATATTTCTTCTGGAATCTGATTTATTGCTAACCACTACAGAAGCCTTCATGATGATCAGCACTGTATTTTAAATGCATAAAGATTATTTAATAACAGACTGAGTTCCTAACTCTTGATGTTTTACAGGCTTCCATCACTGCAGTTCAGAATAACATGGCGACTCTGTGATTGCAATTGTTTTTTGATTTTGTTTGTTTTTTATAGGCCTAATCCATATATACTGTTAAATATTTTCCATGAGTATAAATGAACATCAGATTCCCCACTGTCCTTTTTTTCTCTTCTTTGGCAGAGGAGACTGTTGGAGAGTTGTCACATGTTCACAATAGTTTCTTTGCCATTAGACAAAGGAGGAAACTCCTAGTGAATAAGATCCTTATAATAATACTGCACTAATGTATAGTATATTCTTAGTCTTAATATCTGAAAGTTATTTCTAGTCTTTCAAGAGCTTCTTATTCTGTTCTAGTTATGTGACCACAGCCTATTGTTGACAGTTCACCTGCTGTGACATCATTATAAACAAATTTCCCCGCAGGTGTCACTGCTCCATCTTGTATTATATTAAGTACGTCATTCGTGATTCTGGTGATGTCACTTCTAATTTAAAAACTCTGCCGTTATCAAGAGGGCCACACCAAGCTCAACTTGCCTTGTGGTACAGGCCTCGAGGTTCCAAACAACAAAAATTAAAACTATGGACCCTTTATAAATTTTCTGTTTTGATCATCTTTTTTTACACTGTTGACTTTTGTGGAGAAAAAATAGCAACTCTGCAATTAGTTTTGTTCCTGTAGCAGTATTTGGTATTTACACTGCTCCCCAGAGTGCCTGACTGTCTCTGAACTAGTGTGCTTAGGTGGAATCTAATGAAATTACTGATAATGCTATTAGGAAAAAAAATAGTCAAAAATGGTTTCTTGATCACTCCCATGTGTAATGTATTCATGTTCACAGGAACATGGCGTGTGGCTGAATGATGATTGTTTGTTATTGGCATTTTTATTACGATCACTTACTATACCCTTGTTGTAGTTTTCTTTATATTGAACTTGTTGTGTAGTGTGTATTGGACTTGTTGTCTAAAGCAACTCAAATGCTATTTCTGATGCATTAAGAGCAACAAATTCATGCTTTCATTCAAATCCTAAAATCCGCAAAACATGTACTATTTATCAGCTCAGTTTTTTTTTTTTTTTTTTCGTTTTTTTGTTTTAATAATACAGAACATATACACACAAGGGAAAAGTGCAAAAACAAACTTCCTCCATCCCCCCTAGCACCAGACACCCCCCAAAAATGTTTTTTATCATTACAGCAGTAACCAGAATAAAAGCAATCTGCAATACAGAGTGTGCAGTAGAAAGAAAAGCACTCCCCATCCCCTCCCTTTTACAAGGTAACATAGTCTGCTTTCATTCCTTCAACAAAAATTAAGAAAGATTGCCAGATTTTATAAAATTCTCCAGTAAACCCTCTAACCATATACCTGATTTAAGGTGACACATAACTTCCCTTATCCAGTGACTGAATGACGGTGGAGTGGGGTCTTTCCATTTAATCAGTATCATTCTCCTGGCCAGAAGAGAGCAGAATGCTAGTATTTTGGATTTCCTTTTACCAATCCTAGTGTTCTCCAAGGATTTGATTTGATTTGATTTATTCTTTCAAGCATGTAAAACAGTTGATATGACAACACACATAATTGTACACATAATCCAATATCAATTTGCTTATACCTAGTACATGCTTGAACGGAGTAGGAAGAAGTCAGACTTATCCAGTCCTACCCCATGACATCATCTTACCATCATTGGTTTACAAGCAGTAAATGATTCACTTCTACACACACACATATTATACTAAAAAAAGAATATAACAGTGTTAACATTCTTACATCACACAAGTAATATACTAAAGAATAGTTACAAAATGTACACCACACCCACAATTGTCCATGTAATTAATCATTGAGCCTGTTCTTGCATATATCTTGATTGACACATACCTTTATATTTATGTTTAAACTCGTCAATTCTATTACTATTTTTTATGTCCACACTTAAATTATTCCATAGTTTTACCCCACTTATGGAAATACAAAATCTTTTTTTGGTTGTACGTATAACATGAATTTTTAAATTTAACTGACCCCTTAAATTGTATCCCCCATCCCTTTCATTAAATAGTTTTTGAATTCCACCAGGTAATAAATTGTTCCTGGCTTTATACATAAACACAGACGTCTTATCAGTCAGTTAAAGCAGCAACGTCTATAAAGCCAAAATCCCAAATACTATACAACGTAACAAGCACTTCCCTGCTGCAGGGATCCATTTTCTAACCTATAACAAGGTGCCAGGTGCAGACGCAGCTCCACTGTGTTATTGGTGGCTTCAAACTTCTCGCTGTAATAGAAACATGTTTTGAGTAATGATTCATATCAAAAATTCTTTAATTTATATAAACCTTCAGTTTTTTGCAAGTGCTGTGCTGATACTTGTATTCACTTATATTGGAGTTTTAGATACCACTAAAGCAT